GCTTTGGTGAAAGATGGTGAGAGGAGAGAGGTCAAGGTTCAAGTGATTGAAAATGGACCAACTTGAACCCGGTTGGACATGAAATGCAAACTAATTATGATACAAGTGTTGTTGGCTAAAAGCTTGGTGGTTGTGGTTCCCAATGTGGGTATCCACTAGTTTTCCAACTAAGACACAAACCAAACCAGTGCTCTGCATATTTTTGCACGACTTGAAAGCAAATGCAACCAATTCACCATTAATAACAATTTTGTAGGGTTGTGGTGTGAGGTTGGCCAAAATGTGCATGCCCCAATTCCATGTCAGTTGAATGGGCAAAAGCAAACTATGATAAGGAAATCAGGTGGACCTCTGCCATCCAGACTGTTCATTCCCCCAACCTGTTGCCCACCCAACACCTTCTGCATAATGGATACAAACATCGTCACCAAAGTTTCCACCCACTTAATTCTGCACTACTATAAAATTCAATCATATCATCATCATCATGAAATTGTCGACGTAATATTGTCATATGATGTTACTAATTCACTTACTTAATTATGAATTATCTACGTAATATCGTCACGTGATGTTATTAATTCACTTATTTAATTATTACGAAAGTACTAACATTTGACAAAAGAAATGTGTTAATCATGTAAAGTATATCTCTTTGAGCTTTGCAAGCAACACATCTGGTCCTGAAAGGCTGCTAGTAGGGGTCCCCTAAGACAGGTTGTGCAAGCCAACTGTACAAAGCCACTTATGATTTCATGTCTCTCTCTCCCCCCTTCTCTCTCACTCAATTCTATGAAGTCCCAATTCAAGAGTGACTCATCAAAGAGACTAATTAATCTGGTAACCCTCTTTTTCCAAGACTAATTAATGACCAAGTTGTTGGAGGGTTTACTATTTTGAGATATACTTGGTAGAAAAAAAGAAAAAAAAAGGAACAAATGAAAGTAGAAAGAGGCAAGAAGCCGCAACCTATAATAGTTTTGATATTAAATATATGTGTATATGTGTTTGGGGACCTCTTTTGAAGGGTGAGCATGAGATTGAAGGAACTAGAGAAGACCAACTAGAAAGGCCGATGACAATGAAGGGTTGGAAACTCCATTTCCCAATTGTTTTGATTCATTTCATCTTCAACTCTCTCAACGTATAGGAACCCACCACATTGTCTTTGTCTGTGCCTGGAAAAGGTAGACTTCTTTCAGCTTCCAAAAGCAACCAGTTTTGATCCACATGTGTTATGGTGAGTGTCATTTCTTTTCTCCCTTTTTTTTTTTATTGGTTAGTGTTGAATGGAATGTAATGGCATCTGTTAGTGCTATTGGTCACTATTGCTCCTCATGATAACGTTAAGAGGATTTCACTAATAAATCCATTTTAATGTCGGCAAAGAGATCAGGACATCACCATGACCAACTCTTTCATCATCATCATATCATCTTTAGTGTTTGTTCCTTCACTCATTTTAGAATATGAAGATTCCCATCAACTGGAAACAAGACAGGGTTTTTGAAAAAAAAAAATCCAAAGAAAGAAAGATAGAAACCCTTCAACAGCAGCTACCTTACCAAGAAAACTCCAAAAATAGTTTAGTGGTTATGATTTATTTGAGTGATGAGATTCAACGAATGAAGACTTTTAGCTTTTCAAACACTCTAAAATGGAGGTTTAGATAGAGCTTTTGCAAAAGCACTTACCAAATGTGCAAAACGCCTCCCGTGGTTAACTTAAAGCACCAGCACCTAAATGAAGACTGCTTTTGGTAACCTTCAACAGAGACTCCACTACTAACCATTTCCACAATGGACTTTTTACCTACCCCATGCAATAGCTTGAGAACTGAGTTTGGAGAGATAGTCATGGGACTAACCCAAGGTGGGCCCAACTTGAGGAATGGGACTAAGCCTCTCTGAGAACAGAGAATGTTTTGAACTCTGGCCCTAAAGAAACTCAGAAGTAAAGTGTGGTGGCGGGCCTGACTGGGAAGACCAGCCTGATATTTTTTACTTTAGGGTTTTTAAGTTTTCTAAATCTTTGGGGCTTGGGGACAAAGTTGGATGAAATGTCCAAAATAGATAAATCAAACCGACTGTAAGGAAATGAAAGTGACCTGGACAGCCTGTGGAACCCACCCTTTTGGTTCACTCTCCTATTGGTTTCAAAATTTCCAATGTTCTGCTTATGAATTATTTTTGGCTTTTGATTTTTAATTTGTTGTGGTTTCAGTGTAGCAGATGTGGCTTTGTCAATCCTTTATAGATTTTTATTTTTGCATGAAAGAAGTCTTATCTCATTGACACATGAACCACACAGACACAGAACACAATCCTAACCTCAGAAGAGGCCACATAATTTGGCATCAGAAGCACTTTTCCTGACTTTTTAACTTGTCTTAAATTTGTTTTCTTTCAATTTAATGGAATATTGTCCACAAATATAACCAGAAAGGGAAAAGTCATACCATGGGTTCAGTTCCCTATCAAACTGAATTGTATTTTTGCCTACAACCAAAGAAGGAAACGTAAGGCTACAATGGTTGGCAAACAAGAACTTTTAATTTAATGCTTTATTTAAGTCAAATGTTCTCCCACCAAAGAGTGGCTTGTTTGGGAATGTTTATATAGAAATCACTTCTGTTCATAAGCATTTTCTCAGAAGTGCTTCTATCATAAGAAAGTAAAAAAAATTATTGAAAATAATCTAAGTGATTCTTTAAGAAGTACTTGAAAAAACACTTTTGTGACCTAGAAGCACTTATAAGATTTTCAGTCAAACACTATTAGAAGTGCTTTTAGTTGTCACTAAACGTTTTTAGCCCTTCCAGAAGAACTCTCACTCCCACATGCCCAAATATCTTCATCTAGAAATCTTTGTTTTTATTATCTATTATCAAGATGCTATTTTTGTATTGTTTGTAAAGGATAAAATGGACCTAAAAGCAGCAGGCACATCAGATGTGTATGTCTATTTTATGTATTGGAAAAAGCGTATGTATAGATGCATCATGCATGTACATTGACAATTGAAATTTATAATTGGTGCAATGCAAACAACACATGATTTTACCATGTGATGTCAAATTGCAATTTGAGAGTACGAACAGCACAACACAGGTTTTTATGCCTGTGAGTCCGTGACATGCAGACCTATGATAATGCAAGAGAAACTTTTTCTCTTTTCTTGAAATAATAATAATAATAATAATAATAATAATAATAATAATTTCCCCATTAAAAAAAACCTCAGAATTTCAACCCCTTCACTTGATTCACCTTCCCAATTGCACTATTTCCGAATCCATCCAAGTTTTTCCAACTCACATCAGGAAAAAAGAAATATTTATATCAATTAATTTTCATATCCTCTGGCTCAAACAAAGTCATGTGAACCGCCGAAGCCAAACCTCTCCTTCCTAAATTCCAAATACTTTAAAGCTAGAGAGCTACTATAAAAACCCACATACCACATACATCTTTCTCTCACACTCTTCTTCTTCACAGCTCGTGAATGCATGTGTAAAATCCAAAATGGCTTTTAGGCTCCAAGCTCTGTCATGCCTTGTAGCTCTTCAAGTTCTGGTCTTGTTTTCGGATGAAGCAAGCTCTGCAGGACATGGACATGGCACCAGAATTTCCAGACAAAGAAAGCAAGCGACTGGCTGCAATCTGTTCCAAGGCAATTGGGCTTTTGATGCTTCTTACCCCCTCTATGATTCTTCCAGCTGTCCCTTCATAGATCCTGAGTTTGACTGCATCAAGTACGGCAGACCTGACAAGCAGTTCCTCAAGTATGCTTGGAAGCCTGACTCTTGTGACTTGCCCAGGTACCCTATCATATGCTATAATGCTACATTTAATTATAAAATGTGTCTTGCTTAATTTATAATTAGTAAACTAATTAATCTGTTTATTGTAAAAGGTTTGATGGGTTGGATTTTCTGAGGAGATGGAAGGGGAAGAAAATAATGTTTGTGGGTGACTCACTGAGTCTCAACATGTGGGAATCGTTGTCTTGTATGATCCATGCGTCGGTGCCTAATGCCAAGACCACCTTCAAAAAGGGCTATTCTGTGAACTTTCAGGTGAGTGACAGAGAGAGAGAGAGAGAGAGAGAGAGGAGAGACAAGGACAGAGTCAGACTGGCTTTTTTTTCTTTTGTTTCAAAATTCCATTTCTCTCACTGCATGACTGTCTGCATATTTGTCTGTCTCTCTGTAATTATTTTCTTACCTTATATTATATTTTATCTTGTTCCCTTTTGTCTCTTTTCCCAACATGTTCTTTTCTTTTTCGTTTTTATAAAGTTCTTGGAAGTTCAAGTCCTCCATACTATGCTGTTCTCCACTGTTATATTAATCTATTTTCTGGCAAATTTGATTTTCTGTTAAGTTATGCTAAACTTGGAAACTATATAATAAATGTTGATAATTGCTTCAATTATTTGTTGAATTTAATTGGTTCACATTGCTTTTTTTATACTGGAAGGAAAGCCTGGAGCTAGCTAAATGTAAATGATAAACCCATCATTGTGTAAAAAAATGATGTGTCTTAGCAGAAGGTTCCAGTTGTGGGGTTGGTGGGGAATGAGAAAAATAAATAAATTTTAAAGCCAAGCTTTGTCCTATTTTTTTCCCTCTTTAAGTTATTCCATACTCTTTTTGCCTTTTGTTTAGTAGGTGGTAAAGAAAAAGAAAAATATGTAGAAATCAATCAAAGCAGCTAATTAGAAACTGCAGGCATAAAAATTCATGTTCCCTCTTGAGATTTTATTCATTTATTGTCTTCCTTTTTCTGGTAGGAGAAATTCCAATGAAGAAAACATTTATTTAGAAAGCCTACCATGTTGGTGATGTCTAGCTTAGAAAAGTATGGGTGAAAGCTTATATGATCTTCATGAACTTAACCAATTATTCATTAGAGCCAAAATTCATAGCTCATCTTACCCCTTACAATCGATCAATAGTCTAAATTACTAAAGAGGGGGTGTTTCTCACACACACGCACAATCAAGATTTCATGTTGGTTTAAATATGACACCTTTAGTCTACAAGTTAAGGTCTTTTTCCACTAGGTTAGACCCCGTTGGCTCACCTTACCTTTTAATTGGTTTGAACTTGAAACCTCTAGTCTATAAATTAAGGTATTTTTCCATTGGGCTAGACTACGTCTCGGCTCACCTTACCCTTTAATTGACTTGGCAAATAGAAAGTCAGAAAGATGAGGCTGCTCGTACCCAACAAAGAAAAAGAGAAATCATATAAGGCTTCAATTTATTTATTTATTTATGTTCATGTCCTACATTATTAGTTTCAACGTAGATCTTTTAAAGCCATGAACGTTTACAGGCTGTGATCAGCTACCAGCCAACCTGTAGTCTCTTGTAATCATTTGTGGGCCGCCTTCTTCAATCATTTATCCTCTAATCGGGGGTTACAATAATTCAATTCACAAACTGCTCCATGTTGAATTATGCATTTTATCAAAATTTATTCAAAATAATTGCTCATAAACTAAATTTAAAGCATGCATGTGGTTGCTTGTAGTATTTATTTAGTTTCTTTGTGATGATATACTCTGGAAAATATATAATGATGTAGACAATAAGTGCTTTTGGCGACAGTGCTTTTTGCATACTACCAGCCATTTCATTGTTGCCATATTATTTGGAGGTCTTGTTGATTGAATCTAAAAGGAAGACGGGTTATGTTATATGCAGGACTATGGAGTGACTTTGTTTATGTTCCGCACACCATACCTGGTAGATATAGTCAGGGAAAACGTTGGCCGTGTGTTAAACCTGGGCTCCATCAACGCTGGAAATTCATGGAAAGACATGGACGTGTTGATCTTCAATTCCTGGCATTGGTGGACCCATACAGGCAAATCTCAGCCGTACGATTCTAACCCTCGATCTTTTCTTTTCAATTTTTCAATTGAGGAATGCTAGGCTGTCTTCTCTCGTGTGCATGATCATAAACTACCGTTGATGCATTATGAGTTTCATTTTTTGGATGGTTGTGTTGTGCAGATGGGACTATGTTCGGGATGGGACAAACTTGTACAAAGATATGGATCGTTTGACAGCATTTTATAAGGGGCTCTCCACATGGGCTAAATGGGTTGACTCAAATGTTGATCCTTCAAAAACCAGAGTCTTCTTCCAAGGGATTTCTCCAACCCATTATCAGTAAGTGTAAATCAAAGCGGTAGATTTGATCACACTACTTTGTGAGACTTATAATTAACAACCTCGTTGTTGCATTGAACCAGGGGGCAGGAATGGAATTCTCCGAAGAAGAATTGCTATGGAGAACTTGGACCTCTATCTGGAACAACATACCCAGCAGGGCCACCTCCAGCTTATGCTGTTGTAAATAAGGTGTTAAGCACGATTAAGAATCCGGTTTACTTGCTCGACATTACGACACTCTCACAATTAAGAAAAGATGCTCATCCCTCAACTTATAGCGGCGACCACTCCGGCAACGACTGCAGCCACTGGTGCCTACCTGGGTTGCCGGATACTTGGAACCAACTCCTATATGCAGCTCTCATCATGTGAAGGTCAACCATACTGAGCAACAGTAGCAACCATTTTAGTTTCCTTTCTTTCTATACATTGCTTGCATAGTCGGGGGGTTTAGAATTTCAGATTCACTTCGATTAGTAAACGACAATAAGGTGCCAAAATCAGTTGTAAATTGATTGGTTTAATTGACCAGAAAAATGGTTTGGATTCGTAGATAGACAGAGAAGAGATGGAGAAGTGAGAGTGTATGTGCGATTACAAAAAGCAATAACACTCGTCTTAGAGTAACTTAAAGTCATTGGCTAGTTTGAACTTTCCTGTTAATTTGCTCTGTGATCTAATTAAAGAAATGTACATGTGGAGATTTCCAGCATTGTGGTCAACATTGGTCTTTTCTTTTAAGCTCTTGAATGTGTGAAGATGCTTCCAATAATGATATAAGAGCATTATATTATTGGTCCGCAATTTCAGTCAAAGGCTTAAGTGATTTCAAGAAAGTTCACTATTTTTCCTTTTGGATAAGAAGATAGGTAACTATGTTTCAAATGGAGAACAGAAAACAGAATGAAACGAGATGACAAGCAAATTATGATGGTTAATATCATTAGAAATTTATGCTGGAAGCAATTGTCTATAGCATTACCTTGAATTCCAATTATTCAATAAGCATAGAAGACCTAGCATATAGAGACACCATGATTGTCAAAATAATCATCAGCCACAAAAGATGTTTGGAAGACAGCTCTTGGTACAAACAAAAAAATCAAAGATACGTTGATGGACGCAGGCATTCCTCTCACTGTTGAAGACTGTGAAGCACCAGCCATCGTCCTCCTAAGAGGGTTCTGCAACAATAAGAGATATTGAACTTCGGCTCTCAGTTGAATGGCAATTCACCACTGAATAAACAAAATCCCGGTGCAGGTTGGGAAAAAACAAAAATAAACTATCTGCATCTTATGTGGAAAAGAAAAGTGAAAACAAACCTTAAAAACACTCTGGTGGGGGATTGGAGGAAAGAAGAAGCTAGTAACCAATGTAGACTGCTGCATTCACTATATAACATTCGTCGTTCTTATCTCCCATTTCTTCCACGCACACACCACTTGAGCATATCAGTCCGCCATCCACAACTTCAACTTTCACAATTTTTCCACTGCGATTAAGTTTTAGGGGGAAGATAAGGCAAAAACAATGTCAAAAAATGTGTGGACTGGTTTCAACATCATAGCACTGCATTGTAAAAGAGAGCATTTGCATATCTACGCAGTGGATAAACCCGAACAAATGGGTTTGCTAGCTCAGTGCATCCTTAGGATGTTGTCAAGAAGCACTCACAAGTTACTAACAATTAAAATTTTTGCAAGCAGAAATGTACATGCCGTGACTAGACCAAGTCAAATTTCACAACCAACGAGCACTTGGGCTCATCCCTTAATCTATAGTCTGTAAGCTATGCTCAATGCAAATTGGAGTAGAAGCTGTACGGTAAAGAGAAGTTTCCCACATTTCGGGGGGAATAATCCTACTGGACAGTATTGAAATAGATTTGATAGCTTCTTCCAAGGAAGAAAGTTCACCATACTAATTCTCCATCATACTAAACTAGTGGAGCCATTTCAAAGCTCCTTGATATAATTCCTGTTGAACAAGGATTAGCACCAGCAAAGGTCTTAATGCAATATGATTATAGCCACTTAAAAATTCAAACATTAGATTTCACTAACAGGCACAATGGTAAACACCGGTAAGATTGATTGATTCCATATAAGCGAAAGATATGGTTACCTACGAATGCTGCCACATTGTCAATGAATTTGGCAGTGAACAGCTTAGTATAAGAGATTTGGCAAAGTTTCAGCGAATGAAAGTTCACGCATCCAGATTCAAAAAGTGCAAATACTCACTAAGGAAAGACTGATTTGACCCTCTCGACATCCAGTAACGGTTGGAGTAAATGAGGCACACCCAGCTTGATCTCTAGTTTCATCTCCTCAAATGTAACACCAGGTATTGACCCTGCAGCAATTTAACTTTATGACTACTAATGAAACAAACTCCATAAGAATCCTATTAATGCCACTAACATCATCCAACACAAGATAATGTAATAAAATAAATCATCACATAAGGGTTCCTATAGCATCCACTCAAATTCGTCAAAACCGCAGTGCTCATTTACCAACACATAACATGTATTCACAAAACAAAATTCAACAGTATTTAGGCTAGCAAATACAGCATAAAAGAAACAGCCAGTATACTAATAATTTATTTGTCTTGCCACTAAAATTTTTAAAGGCATATGATCATATTACCTCTTCGAAACGCAGGGATTGAATTAGAGGTGATGGCATCTCTGCAAGCCCGCATTGCTGCAGCGGTAACGTCTTGGCTGTAACACAAAATTTCATCAAACTTCATATTAACCAAGCTACTTCCTTTAATTAAAAGCTCAAAATTTTGACACTTCAACGCATGAAATTCTCAAATGGGCAAATCATCAAATGTGGCAAAAAGAGCGAGAAGAGAGTCAAAGGGGCAAAGGAAGCTGACCCATGTTGGTCGTAGCCCACGCCCATCTCCACGAACAAGAGCTTCATAGGTGGGGTTGAGACGCCGGTCTCACTTTGCTGGGCTTCCATGGAAGCTGATGAGGCTTTGATTTGGCGTAAGAACCGAGAGGCTCGAAGAGAGGACTGGTTTGGGGTTAGAGTGAGAAGTAGGTGTGAAGCTAGTGATGGGTTATTCTTATTAGTATGATAAGTAAACGCGGCAGATGAAGAAGAAAGTGGCAGATTTAGAAACAAGCAGGCCGTCATCTTCTTTGCCCAGAGCAAACTAATTTTCGTCGCCCCGACATGATTAGCACCGCCTCTCTCAACGGACAAAGCCGGCCCTTTCTTTTTTTTCTTTTTTCTTTTTCTTTTTCAAGCAGGACAGATTATCCAATAATAATATGGTGAACGTTTTACCAAATGTAAATAATAATAATAATAATAATAATAATAATAATAAATTAAAAATTAAAAAATAGTATTTTCTCTTTTTTATGCAATGGGCTTGTAGCCCAACTGATTAAAGTAATTTCTAGTGCCCACGATGTATAGTGTTCCAACTATAATAAGGCTAGTAACAATTAGGTATCTACATCATCATAAATTATATTGTTGTTGCAATTTGAGACCTCATTAATTGATAAGTACATTACACTACTGGCATGAACGAACTTTGAAAAGAAATTATTGAATTGGTTGCATTAAATATGTGAATATCCCTACATGTTTTTAGTAAGAAAGTATCAAAGATGCTAGACCTAAATGATACTAATCTTGACAAGTGAATGAGCTTGAAATTTGAAACCGAGAAACACTAATCGGTCTTTAGGGGGGCATTTTGGAACGCAAACTTATAACCTTAAGCTTACTGTTACTAGATGATATGATGCCAAACCTTTCAACTAATATGACAAATGTTTATACCAAAATGAGCAGCCAATAAACATTTGACACGTGGACTAAGCTGGAGCTATGGGAGCCTTCGGCATCTAGCTTCGGCATCTTATCTACCGATCGCTCTATTATGGCAACCTTGGCATCTGGGACACGTGGCAGTCTCACAATCAATGTCCACAATCCCACATCGAAATTATAAACAAAATGCACACCTCCCAAGGCCTATAAAAGAGGACAACCA